TGTCTGTTCCAAGCCCCCTATCCCCCCAGTTAGAGCGCTACTAGTACTGAAAGGCCCTGTGCTCCGGGCAACCCAAGCGACAACCTGGGGAAAACAAGGGAACAGACACACAAGGGAAAACACGCAAGGGACCACCAAAGCGAACCAAAGCGAACACAAAGAGTCAACCAAAGGTAAAGCCAAAAGCAAAACCCGCAAGACAAAACCAGAAAAAGGCAAGAGGCACATGCCAAAGAGAGACAAATAGCAGCAAAGAACGGCAACAAAGGGAAAAAACCCAAAGCTGGCCCCAGGTTCGGTCGGGTTCCCCCCCCCTTTCCCCTTCCCCCCCCCCCCCCCCCCCGCGGGCGCTGAACGCGTCGCAGGGAGCGCCCTGGCTTCGAGCCCTGGATTGGCGAGCCCGGGCTCGCTGCCCACAGTGCTGGGGCGCCGGGATTGCTCCAAGAGCTCGGCCAAGAGCGCGGGGGGGCCCGTTTTTCCGAGGGAGGGGGCAAAGGGGTCATCTGCCCGGAAGGGGGCCCACCAAGGTTTCAGGGGCAATTTTTTTCGGCGGAACGTTTTTGAGGGGTCAGGATTTGCGTGGGAAAAAGGCGGTTTAAGCCAGGGTCAAGTGTGGGGAGGATTTGGGAGTGGTTTTGAAGGGAAGCCGTAAGGCAAAAGAATCCCCTTTGGGGATTCATGAGCCCCGGTTGATTCATGTCAGATTTAGGCATAGGGCCCTGAAGGTCAGCATGGAGCCCAGAAAGACCCATATCTCCCTGTACCGCACCGTGCGAACCAAATCCTCCCCGACAGCACAAGCACACACACACACACGCACAGACAGAGACAGACAAAGACAGACAGAGACAGACAGAGAGACAGACAGAGAGACAGACAGAGAGACAGACAGAGAGACAGACAGAGAGAGACACAGACAGAGAGAGACACAGACCGAGAGACACAGACAGAGAGACACAGACAGAGAGACACAGACAGAGAGACACAGACAGAGAGACAGAAAGAGAGACAGACGGAGAGACAGACGGAGAGACAGACGGAGAGACAGACGGAGAGACAGACAGAGAGAGAGAGAGAGACAGAGAGAGAGACAGAGAGACAGACAGAGAGACAGACAGAGACACAGACAGAGAGACAGACAGAGACACAGACACAGACACAGACACAGACAGAGACAGAGACACAGGCAGAGACACAGACAGAGACACAGACAGAGACACAGACGGAGACACAGACAGAGACACAGACAGAGACACAGACAGAGACACAGACAGAGACACAGACAGAGACACAGACAGAGACACAGACAGAGACACAGACAGAGACACAGACAGAGACACAGACAGAGACACCGACAGAGACACAGACAGAGACACAGACAGAGACACAGACAGAGACACAGACAGAGACACAGACAGAGACACAGACAGAGACACAGACAGAGACACAGACAGAGACACAGACAGAGACACAGACAGAGACACAGACAGAGACATAGACAGAGACACAGACAGAGACACAGACAGAGACACAGACAGAGACACAGACAGAGACACAGACAGAGACACAGACAGAGACACACAGACAGAGACACACAGAGAGAGACACAGAGACAGAGACCCAGAGACAGAGACCCAGAGACAGAGACCCAGAGACAGAGACCCAGAGACAGAGACACACAGACAGAGACACACAGACAGAGACACACAGACAGAGACACACAGACAGAGAGACACAGACAGAGAGACACAGACAGAGAGACACAGACAGAGAGACACAGACAGAGAGACACAGACACAGAGACACAGACAGAGAGACACAGACAGAGAGACACAGACAGAGAGACACAGACAGAGAGACACAGACAGAGAGACACAGACAGAGAGACACAGACAGAGAGACACAGACAGAGAGACACAGACAGAGAGACACAGACAGAGAGACACAGACAGAGAGACACAGACAGACACAGACACAGACACAGACACAGACACAGACACAGACACAGACACAGACACAGACACAGACACAGACACAGACACAGACACAGACAGAGACAGAGACAGAGACACAGACAGACACAGACACAGACAGACACACACAGACACAGACAGACACAGACAGACACAGACAGAGACACAGACAGAGACGCAGACAGAGACACAGACAGAGACACAGACAGAGACACAGACAGAGACACAGACAGAGACACAGCCAGACTCAGACACAGACACAGACACAGACACAGACAGAGACACAGACAGAGACACAGACAGAGACACAGACAGAGACACAGACAGAGACACAGACAGAGACACAGACAGAGACACAGACAGAGACACAGACAGAGACACAGACAGAGACACAGCCAGACTCAGACACAGACACAGACACAGACACAGACACAGACACAGACAGAGACACAGACAGAGACACAGACACAGACACAGACACAGACAGAGACAGACAGACACAGACAGACACAGACAGACACAGACAG